CCTTTCTCCTGTGGAGCAGCTGTGGGTTCAAACCTCTGACTTTTGGGTTAGCAGTCAATCTCAAACCTCTGTACCATCAGGGCTTCTTGATAATTATTATAGATTTTAATTGTTTTGTTGAATTTTGTAATTTTAAACTAATTTTAGGGGTTTATTTTTGAAATGTACAACATTAATGTTTGCTAAAAGGAAATGGATTTCATAATTAAGTATTCAAATGAGGTTTAAGGAAATATTCTGTGTAATAAGTGTCAAAGACTGTAGACAAATTTTTTTAAGTAAAGGAGTTCATATTAATATTTTAGAAGGAATTTTAAATAAATATATATATATATAAAATTATTGTTGTTTTGGTGAAAGTTTACACAAATTAGTTTTCTATTCCGTAATCTGTACACAAATTGTTCCTTGACTTTGGTGGCTGCTCTTGTAATATGTCAGCATTCTCCCATTTCCACCCTGCCTTCCCCATTTCCATCTCTCCAGCTTCCTTGCACCTCCTTGACTTCTTATCTTTGCTTTGGGGCAAATATTTCCTGGTTGGTCTCATTGTTGATTGTTTTGAAGAGCACATTCCTCAAGGTCTCAGTTTCATGTTAAAAGAGCAGTGGTCCTGTGTGTTCTTTCAGTCTCTATCAGTCTAAAAAGTCTAGTCTTTTGATGAATTTGACTTTGTTCTCTATTTTTTTCTCCCATTCGGACTGGGACTTTCTGTTGTGTTCCTGGTCATGGTCACCGGGCACCATCTAGTTCTTCTGGTCTCAGGCCAGAAAAGGCCGTGTGGTTCATGCGACCACAGGTGCTATAGACTGAGCGTTTCCTTGAGTATCTGGTTTCCTTCATGCTTCTTTACTCCAGATGGGAAGAATCTGGCAGTTGTGTTTTAGATGTCTGCTTGTGAGTTTTTAAGACCTCCGATGCTACTCACAAAATGATGTTATGCCAATTAACTTAAATGTCCCTCACGACTCTGGTCCTTGGCCTTCTAGCCCAGTAACTCAGTCTGACAAGGTGTTTGAATATGTCTAAGGGGATTCCGTAACTGTGCCCTTATAAGTTCTAGTAATATAGAACATATACAGAAATGTATATAAAATGCCCCAAACTATGCCTATATATACATGTACTCCTATGCACCCGTTCACACATATATGTCGTTAGGCGCCATCGAGTTGTCCCCAACACAACACGACCCTGTGCACAACAGAATGGAACACCACACAGTCCCGCTCCATCCTGACCATTGTTCCTGTGTCTGAGCTCACTGATGCAACCACTGTGTCAGTCCATCTGACTGAAAGCCTTGCCATTTTCACTGCCTTTCCAGTTTACCCAGCATGATGTCTCCTGACAATATGTCCAAAGTATGTAACACAAAGTCTTGCCATCCTTGCCTCTTGCCAGGAGGACTCTGGCTTTACTTCTTCCAAAACAGATGTTTCTCCTTTTAGCAGTCCATGGTACCTTCAATATTCTTCTCCAGCACCACAGTTCAAATGCATCGATTCTTCTTCAGTCTTCCTTATTCAATGTCGAGCTTTCACAAGCATATCATGCAATGAGAACACCACGACTTGGGTCAGCCACACTTTAGTCTTTGTTTTTCAGCACTCGAAAGAGGTCTTATGCAGCAGATTTAACCAATGCAATACATTTTTTGAGCTCTAGACTGCTGCTTTCATGACCATTGATTGTGGATCCAAGTCATACAAAATCTTTGGCACCTTCAACATTTAATGGGTAAATAAGTTATAATAATTGTTTTTGTTACTGTGATTGCATTAGTGCCTATGATAAGGACGATTTTAATTTAAATAACAGCACATGGGAATTTTGGGGGGTGGATTTTTATAAGTGGGAGAAACTGAATAAAATACATGTGAAGGTGTTTTGATCGATTTTTTGATGGTGGTTCATGGCCAATTTGAACTTGTTTAATTTTATTTGGTGTAAGTTTTACAAATGAGTCACTGAGTGATTCTTAGGAAACTTTTTATTGGTATTTTTGTATAGTTCGGTTTTTATTTCCTTTATAGAAAGTGTGAGAATGAAAATTTTAAAAAGAGACTAACTCATATTTTTGGAGTACAAAAAGTTTTTAAGGTCTGTTTCATACATCTTTATTATAATGAACATTTTTAATTTGATTTAACTTGATTTTGTTTATGGCCTAATTAGCTTTAGTTGCTAAGCATTTAAATAAACATTTTAAATTTTTAAATTTTATTAATTCTATATATAATTAGATTTTATTTAGAGTTGTTTTTATTTTGTGATAGTAATAATTTTTGGAAGGTGTAATGTTTGATAGTAATTTTTATTTTAAAATAATTTAGTTGTTTGAAGTTAATTTTTGTAATATTAAAAAATTTTATATTTAGGTTGTATAAATATTGATGTTTATTTTTATTTTACTTATTATTAATTTGGAATTAATACATATAGCACATCATTCTATAGTTCAAAATTCATATACAAAATTATTTTATTTCATTCAAAATGCCTTTCATTGCTGAAAATATATATTTTCAACAAGGAAAAAAAGGGTAAAGAAACGACGATCAGTGGGTGTGTACCCGTGTCTGTACCTTTCCCCCAAAATAGCCTATTAACAAAACTTTAAAATCTTTAAGTACGTAATTCGGCATCATGCATGGGCAGTAGCTCCGGGCCTCTGGTGCACGTTCCCCGGACGCGCAGGTGGGGAGCTCGGGCCGCGCGGTGGGCCGTGGGGCTGCAGCGCCTTTGGAGCGGCCCTTCGGTGCTCCCACCAACTGCGCGGACCCCTACAGGTTCCCCTCCTCCCTCGGCCGCTGGGACGGGAGGTCCGCATCCCCCTGTCCCTCTCGGGGACTGAACTCCCGGGCGACCCACAGCCGGGAAGCTCACAGCCCGGAGTCGCGGGCGGCCACAACGCCCCATTGGTTAGCGGCCCGGCGGACGGAGATTCCTATCGGTCGGGCGCCACGGCGTGCCGCACTGCCTTCTGGGCGTTGTAGTCACAACGTCGGCGGCACGGCCGCCATTGTCCAGGGCTGGTAGAGTTGGGTGGGCCCTGTGGAGGAGGCGGCTCTCGGGTTTGGGGTCGCCTCGGACGCCTGCCCCTAGCTTGTCCGTCCAGGATGGACGCCGAGGAGGAAGCGGCGGCGGTGGCGATGGCCGTGGTGTTGCCAGCGGCCCGTCTTCAGGTAACGATAATAATAGCAATAACAACAACGACGGCATCTGGTCCCAGTCCAGGCGCCCCCCTCGGGCACTAACCCGTTAACCGACGCAGCTCGCCGCAGGCAGGACAGGGCCGCCAACCCCCTCACCCGAAGGGGAAACTAATGGCGCAGCTAATGGCACAAGGACTAATCTAGCTGCTGAGGGGCCAAGCCATTAGGCGAACCCGTATGGCAGCCCGAATGCGCATGCTCCCCCGGCGCCCCCTGCCCTCCAATTGGGTGGGGAGGTTATTTCCGAGGCCTCCTGGGGAGAGATCCTCCAATACCCCGCACCCAGCCTTGCCCGCACTTCTCCCAGGAGCCGTCATCGACTGGGGGGCAGCGCGACAGTGACCATAGAGCCCACCCATTTCGGAGATGGCAGATCCTAATGCATCACCGAGCCCAGCAAACACCCAAGGGGAGCCGCCACCACGAAGCCCCTCAAGCAGGGGCCCAACCCTGCGCAGAGGGCCTGTCCCCAGGCAACCAGCCGGTGAGACTGGTGCAATGGGACCACTGTCGGTGCGTCCTAAAGTGCCTCAGCTTCGCAGTGACCTGCCGTCCTGCCTGGTCGGTTTGTTGGTCTAGGACTGTTTAACTTACGTGATTTCAGAATTGGTTTACTGAGTGTGACTACTGGTCATCTTGGATGGCCTGTCGTTCTCTCAGATCTGCATGAAGCACACCCACACGAGTTTGCTCTTGCCAGTGTGTTGAGCATATGTGTGTGGTGGAGGGATTGGGGTATTGGGGTGGTCATGGAGTCAACCAGTCACCGACATGTAGTTAGGGGCAACTCCGGTGCAACTGAAGGAAACGCTGCTTGGTCCTGCAGCATCCTCACAATTGGTGCTGTTGAACCCATGGTTAGAGCCGCTGTGTCAGTCCATCTCATTGAGGGGAGGGTCAGCCCCCTTTTCACTGACCCTCTACCCAGCATGATGCCCTTATTTCTCCAGGGACGGGTTCCTCTCCTAATAACGTGTCCAAAGAACTTGCGACAAGCCTTCATCCATGCTTCTATGGAGCATCCAGACTGTACTTCCCAGACAGACTTGTTCAATATACCATAATGTATAGGCATTGGTTCTCCTGTCTTCGTGGCTCAGCGTTCTTATGCATATAAGGCGTGATTGAAAATATGGTCTGGGTGGGTCATTTGCGCTTTAGTGCTTGTTGACATTGCTGCTTTTTAACACTTTAAAGAGGTCTTTTGCAACAGACTTGCCCAATGTAATACCCAGAAATTACTGGGCCAGAAATACAGTGAAACCCTTGAGAGCTGGGATTCAACAACTACCTTGGTACCATCATGACAAAAGGAGAAAAGATCGATGTTGTCAAGGATTCCGCCCTGCTCAGATCCACGGTCAATGTTTGTGGAGGCAGTAGTCATGGGTTGCATTGGGTGAATCTGCTACACAAGATTTAAAGTGTTGAAAAGCAAGAAATGTTACTTTGAGGACTAAGGTGCAAGCCATGATTTTTTTTTTTTTGAATTTAAAAGTACATCTCTTTTCATCCACTGGGCAATACAGAATACGTCGTAATCAGGAAAACGAATTTTCACCAACTGGGCTGTGTCTCAGGCCTGTGACCCTGACAGTGGTGTCACAGCCACAGGTGCTAGAACCCTTCCTGGAAAGATGGCCACTGGGTTCTCAGCTGCTGGGTCCCGGCCACTTCTGGACCAGAGGTCTGGGGCATCGCCCAGAACCAGGAACACGAGGTCAAGTTCTACAAACAAAACTAGGTTTTGATAAAGGTAATTCTTATTCTGCTAAGAGAATCTCATTTCATTCGTTTTGTGTCCAAAAGATACAATGAGCTCGCTGTGCCCTGCTTTTTGTGAGTCTCTGCGTCCTCAGCTGACCTCAATGACCTCAAATGCATATGACGGAAGACCAAAGAAGAATAGGTGCCTTTGAATTATGGTGCTGACAAAGAATATTGAAACTACCATGGACTGCCTAAAGAACAAACAAATCTGTCAGAATGCTCCTTAGAGAAGAGGGTAATGACTTGGCCTCACACACTGTGGACATGTCATCAGGAGAAACCAGTCCCTGGAGAAGGACATTGCGCTTGGTAAAGTAGAGGGGCACTGATAAAGGGAAGGCCCTCAGTCAGATGGATTGCAGCCATAGGCTCAGACATAGAACAGTTGTGAGGATGCTATGGGGCCAGGATGCTAGCGTCTCATGCTGTTGTACACAGAGCCACTGTGAGCTGGAACCAGCGTTTGCAGCGTTTGCACCTTTGACCAGGTGCCTCACTACTTTTCCACCACGCACTTTAGTGGAAATGACTTGAACTTTTCTGACAGGTTTCCACTTTACAGAGCTCCTGGCCTTTGCAGCTTGTACTATAAAAAGTTACCGCCTCATCTTTCTGATGGTTAGGAACCCCAGTGGCCAACAAGCTGAGGGGCCTGATGTCCATGGCCCCTCCCTCCCAGGCACCAACTTCCTCCTTCCCAGAGCTAGCTGCATGCAGACTTCAAACACCCACTGTGGGCTGGTTTGCCTGTTCTATACCTTGCAAACGTGAACTCTTCCAGGTTGTAAGTCTGATTTCTTTCGTTCATCTTAGGTTGGCGAGATTCATCCAAAGTTTTGTTCTTTATAAGCTATTTATTCCCCCTTGCTTATATATCATTCTGCTTGATGAATAAGACCACATCTTAGTGCTTTCATCCCTCTCCAGTTGTTGGCTTTTATGGGTATATCCACTCCTCACTTATCACATGGTTAGGTTCTGAAAATAGACATGACGTAAAAATGGAAGATGACTGCCTCAGTTACATCATCGCCTGAGTACATCACTACAGGACTGCTGAGCCACTGAGAATGGTCGCCCAGCGAAGTTAATGCCTAACTTTAACCATCACAACCAGCATTACTAGCATTTCTTTTTTTTTTTAATTAATTCATTTTATTGGGGTCTCTTACAGCTCATAATAATCCATATATCAATTGTATCAAGCATTACTCTCATTTCACACCTTGGTGTTCATAACTGCCAGATGGTGCATCATTAATGCACAAAATAGAAAGTTTAATGTTGATGATATGTTCTGTGAAAGAGAACACTGTGTGTGAAATTTGGACATTGTATGAACATCTTATATGCAGGCATTCCCTTTTGAAACAAACACTTTTCATTTTAATACTGTCTAATTTATCTGTCTTTGTTGTTGTTTGAATTTTATGTATTATACTTGAGAAACCGTTACCAAATCCAAGGTCTCAAAGTCTTCTGAGAGTTTCTTCAAAGAGCTTGATAGTTTGGGCAGTTAGTTACCTTTAGACTTTTTTTTCCACTTGAATTAATTTTTGTATTTGGTGTGAGGCAGGGTTCCAACTCTATTCTTGATCGTGTGACCTTCCAACTGTCTTATGGGAAGCATCTTTTGTGCACATGGTTCCCTCCACAGCCCCCAAGGGGGATGATTCGTTGTAGACGAGGAAGGAAACTGGGAAGCAGAACTACTCCACGCCACTCAGGGAAGAAGTGACAGGAACATCTTGCGTTTGCCCTTGGCCACATCATGGGTTTTGCTTCTGAGACATGTTTTAATGGCATCAACTTACAAAAATCAAGTTTTCATAT